GGGTCTTTGTTCCTGTGCTCCTTTGTATTTGTAGTAGTTACTTTCAGTCTTTGTCTAGTGGGACTGAGGTTGGGACTTGCTCGTGGATAATTTTTGTTGGTTTCTTTTATTCCTTTAAGTGGGATATGTTGTTTTGCTTCCCTATAAGTCTTGTACTATTTTGTTGAAAATCTGGATTTGACTGTTACAATACGGTAACCTGGAAATTGGATTCTGTTCCTTCTTCAGTGTTTACTGCTCTTCCTTTTCTTTTTTATTATTGAAGACTGTAGGGATCAATTATTTCTTTCTTTCTTTATCTGTCTATAGATAGGGTCTTGCTAAATTGCCCAGGCGGGCCTTGGGCTCATGATCCTCCTTCCTCAGACTCCCAAGTGCTAGCATTGCAGGCATGCACCACCACGCCTGCCTGAGGTCCACTGGTTTTATTTTAGTTTTTGTTTTTGTTTTTCGGTACCAGGGATTAAAGTTGGGTCCTTGCGCTTGCACAGCAGGTGGTGAAACCACTGAGCTAAATCCCCGGCCCAGTCCATTGTTTTTTAGATGTTTTCAGACTTGTTTTGTAGAGATTATTCCTTCTGTCATGTGGCCGCTGAAGACTCTTCTTTCACCTTGTGTTCCACTCACATTCTGACAGATTTCCTCTAACATTAGACACCTCTCCAGATTCCCCATCTTTTGACACCGAGATTGGCTCATCTGAGCCCAGGGACCAGCCAGAGGCACAATCTTGCCTGGGGTGCCTGGGCATGGCTGCCTCTTTCTAAAGTCCCCTGTATACAAGGGGACATTCATGGATGTCCTGATTTCTGGAGACTCTTGCCCTGTCTAGGCCTTTGGTGGTCTGTTGGATGTCTCCACTGTAATCTCTTGTCCCAGAATGCTGTGGGTCTGTAGAAGGTGAAGCTCTCCCAAGCAGTGCACTCATTGCTTGAGTTCCAAGTTCAGCAAGACAGATGGTGCTTTGTGTCAGTGCTCCAAGAGTCCACCACTTGGGTCAGAGCCATGGCACAGGATTTGCAAGGCTGGCCTTCCCCGCTTCTTCTGACCTACTGGTGTTGGGGGGAGAGACCAAACTGCCCATGCCCTGGGGGGATACAAAAGTGGATTGAAATGCCCTCTAACCTTCCTCTCTTTGAAGATGGCTTTTTATTGTTGGGCATTTGGTTGGTTGCTGCAAACCTGATTGTCTCCAGAGCCTTGACAAGGTTGGTCAGAAAGCTTCTCCTTGTTCTGTCTTGTTGATGTTTCTGTGGAGAGCTTAGCGCTCTCTGGCCCACAAATTTTGGTGGATTATTTTTATCTTTTAAAAGGGCCATTCTGAAAATAGAAGTTTATGAATCTATACTAAGATAAATGAAAACGCAATAAATAAATAAATGGGAGAGAAGAGAAAGCCCTTCTGACAGCAGAACAAGGAAATCTGGTGCACACTTGCAGTAGTCACTGTGGGCAGGCTGAAGGCCCTTCCTAATTCCCCCAGGAGTAGTGCCTGCCCAGTGGGGAAGCCCTGAACCAAGCCAGGAAGGTGGGCATCTGCATTACGTGCTTGCAGACACAAGGTGCTGGGAAACACGGCTATGCTGAGTTCCACCGAAATGTGCTCCCCAGCATAACCCACCACACTCCTCACAAGGCCAAGGTCAAAAGACAGAGTGCAGGCAGAAGGAGACTAAAAAGAGAACTCCTGTGTCACATGGGCCTGCACTAACCAGGGTAGAAAGTGAGCAACTGTGACAGGTGCAGCTGGGTGAAGGGGTGCGGGGCCATGGCAATGTGCACTCCTCTGGATGCGACACCAGGACACACGCTCGTATCTAGGGGCGAAGGGACATGGTTCAGAAAATATGTAGGTACAGAGTGAGAGCGAGCATGCACAATGGCACGTGCTGAGCAGAGTGTGCAAGGATGAATCAGGTGCAGGGCTCACGGGGCTCTTTGCTCTGTTTCTGCAACTTTATAAATTCAGAATCGTATCAAGATAAAAGTTCCCAGAAAGCTGGGTGCCAGCTGTCATTCGAAGAGCTGGCCAGTGGGAGATCAGAGTGGGGCCAGCCTGATGGCTTCAATTCATGGAGGTGAATTTGGGGGAGGGAAGGAGGAAAGGAAGCTCGGGGGGGAGGGGTGTTGTCTGTGGGCTGCAGCGGCACAGGAGCACAGCCAGGCCCGGCCCCGGGGCAGGTACACGCAGACCCAGCTGGTCCTGGGGGCTTGGTGCCTTGTTCCCTCCTCCCCGCCCTGCACCCTGAGATGAGCCCTGGTCCTGGTGGAGCCTCCACAGGACACAGGGCAGGTGTGCACAGAGACTGCAGAGTTTGCTCAGGATTAGATGGCCCTCGGGAGAGCAAACAGCGAGGGTGCAGTGTCCTGTCTCGGGACAGAGGTGCCAAGTGTCAGCAGGCAAACAGGCCCTCCCTTCCCTCCAGGAACCCCGGTGTTGACTCAGCACCGCAGGATTTGCAGAGGGGCCTGAGGCAGCAGAGGCCACCCATCCGATGGCCCAGTGCTGACAGAGGTACCTGGCACGAGGCTGCTGGGCATCCACACCTAGGCCCCGCTGGCCCTGGCCCTGCCGCATTCCAGTCCTCTGCAGGCCCAGGAAGGGAGGCACAACCTGCACGCACCACAGGGTCCATCCCTCAGAGGGACACAGGCCCAGGGAGAGTGCCGGCCCCCTCCAGCCACGCAAACAGGGACATGGCCCAGCTTGGGAAGGAGTATGGAGTGAGCCAAGGGCTGGCACCTCAGGACCCCACCCTGCCCGGGCCAGGGCTGCTCAGGGACTCAGGCACAGGGGCTTGGGGCATGGCAGGGAGAGCTCTCATCAAGGATCAGCACCGGGGCAGGAGGCGGGTGGGTAGTGACCAAGACACCATGACAAGGATGGTGAACGTGGAGGATGGGACAATAGTTCCTGCCATGGGGGCACAGCCACAGACTCCTCCCTGCCCGTCCTCTAGACACCTGACCCAGGTGCCCCTGAACAGCTACCTCAGGCCATGCCACAGTCACCCCAGGGCTTGCTGGTCTGTGTCCTCTGAAAAGAGCCCCTGCCCAGTGGCCTCTTCTGTGGGTGCTGTCTCAGGGCCTCTGCCCTGTCTCTGTCCTTCCTATTTGTCCCCCAGGGGTCCTCCCACCTTGGGCTGCAGAAGCAGACCCCCACATCCTGGTGGGGGCACCCCAAGCCCTCTGGCCCCTAGACAGGTCCCCTGCCCTGCCCTGCCCCCCAGAGTGACCCCAGTGCCCCGGTGCCTGGCTCAGGCCTCCACCCAAGCACCCCAGTGGGTCAGAGCTGGGATGAGGTCTGTGAGCTCCACCCTGGGGGTGCAGAGCGAGAGGCCCAGAGGGGGTGGGCCCCCCAGGGCAGCCCTGCCCTGCCCTTCCTGCTCCCAGGTGACGGGTGACAGGTTGTTCCGCCCCCTTGAACCTCTCACTCCCTCCGACTTGTGAAACCTGCCAAGCTGCGGCCAGGGCCAGGGAGGGAGGGCAGCCGCTCCCACCTGGGGACGTGCGGCAGGGTTACTTCCTGCCATGCCGTGCTCCAGGCAGGGAGGGACACGGTGGCAGGAGCGAGTGCCCAGGGGGTGGAGGATTAGTCACCAGGGAGGAAGAGGTGGCTCGTGGGGACACCTGATCCGCCCCGGGGGCAGCTCTGACCCTGGCCTTGGCAAGCTGAGAACAGCAGGGTCAGCCGATCGTCCCGTGCAGGACCTAAGGGCCGGCCACGCGGGCTCAGGGCCTTGTGTGGCCCAGGCATTGAGGGGCTGGACGGCAGTGCCCTGACCTCCAGGCCTGCCAACGGGGCAACACATGGCACCTTGGACATCTTTGCAGAACCCAAGCTGTATGCCTTGGAGGAGGGGCCCGCCTGACTGTGTCAGCTGTGACCTGAGCAGGGGGTGCTGAGCCCTGGGGGATGGGGGATGGGACCCCGGTCGCAGCCTGGGGACGCAGTGGGGCAGACCAGGCAGGACCCACTGTGCCCTACCTCGTGGCAGCCACCAGGAGCAGAGATGCCCAGGGCCGGGCTGGGGGGTTGGCCGCACAGGGGAGGGGACACAGCCCAGTGTCCACCCCTTGCTGGGCCTCAGTTTCCCCAAAAACAGAGCCTGAGTGTGAGAACATGGCCCCATGCCCCTGCCTGAGGCCCGCCCCATCCAGCCTGCCATCCTGGCCCCCATGTGTGTCCAGGCCTGACTGGCAGATGTCTTCAGGCGCAAGCCCCTCAGCCTGCCCTGTGTTGTTATGCAGAGCACAGCCCAGCTGCCCTCTGCCCCGACACCTGGCCCTGCCCAGTCACCTCCTCGGCCCTGTGCCCGCTCCTGGACCATGGGCCCTCCTGGCTTTGCTATGTGGCCGGGCATCAGGGAGTTGGGGCATCTGGGGCTCCAGGAAGAGGGGCTAGGTACCAAGACAAGCGGGCAGGGTGGCTACAGCAGAAGCAGGAGGGCCTGGTCCAGGGCCCTGGCCACCCTGCAGGGCCTGCGGTCCCTTGGGGAGGGGGTGGCAGTCCAGTGCTCACACATCGCACGCCCCACTCAGCTGCATGAGGAGCCCACAACTTCCTGCAGGGGAGGAGCCCGGCAGGGGGCGGGAACGTGGGAAAGGCGGTGATGAGCCAGGGTGCTGGGTGCTCCCGCAGTCAGGCATCACTCACTCATCCTCGAACCCACCGTCACCCACCGCTCCTTCGTTCATCACCCCCTCCCCGTGCGCCCCTCAGTCACTCGCTGGCTCATCTACCCAGTCCCGCCTTCATCCGTCTCTGCATCCTTCACTCGGTTACTCATCACCGACTCATTCCCTCATTCAGGCTCACTCACTCTCACTGTGCTCCGACGCTGTGCCCCTTAGAGCATGGCCTGTCCCCAGCCATGGAGGCAGCAGGGCTACCAGTGGCCCTCCCTGGCTGCTTGTCCCCAGTGGCCCATGCGGACTTGAGCCCTGGGCTGGGCTGTCCCACGTGGTTGGATGCGAAGGTTCAAACAGAGTCCACAAGGTGCAGTGCTGCAAATGTGTTTATGGAAAGAGGGTCGGGGGCCTGGGAGGGGCTTAGCACAGGCTGAGCCAGTGTGAGGCAGGGCTGTGCCTGTCACCTGAGGCCGGTGCGGTGCTGAGTCCACCCCCTCTCCGGGAGTGGGGGGGTGAGGCCAGGCCTGGGGCGAGGGTCAGAGGACGTGAGGGCAGGCGTCACTGAGGAGGCCTGGGCCCCTGCTCCTGGCTCTCCCCGGACTCCGCCTCCCATGACGCGGGCGCCTGGCACTGCAGGCCCTGGCAGCCACACTCCTCCACCTGGGTGTAGCTGAAGGCCCGGCTGGAGCCGTCCGCACAGCTCAGCATCACTGTCTTCCTCGAGGTCCGCCGCTCCTGGCAGCAGCTGCACTTGTGCTCCGCGGTGTCGGCCCCCAGGGAGTACCTGCAGGTGCGGCTCTCAGCCCAACCCGGGCTGGATCCCACTGCCCTGCGGTGCCCTCCGCCCACCCTCCCAGCACCCGTCTGCCCCCCAGGCCTGCCGCACCCCACTGCCAGCACACAGGGGCTCCGGGCCATACCTGGAGGTGCTCTCTCCGCAGTTGCCCTCACAGTAGGAGAGGCGCACGGGCGTGGTAGAGCTGCAGTTCTCGCGCTGGAGGACCTGCTCGCGGTGGTGCAGGGTGCAGGGCCCTGGGGAACACGGGCATGGGTTTCCTGGGTCCCAGGGGCAGTGTCACCCCCCCAGTCACAACACTCACATTCCTGGGGCGCTGTTGGCACCAGTGGACAGAGGAGGCAGCAGCCATCCTGGCTCAGCTGGGCCTGGGCCTGTGCCAAAGAGGGGCTGGTCAGTGCCAGGGAGGCCACCCCACAAGGGGGCGGTGGGAGCCAGCTCCGAGAAGGGGTGGGCCCCACGGGAGGGCAAGTGACACGTTGGATGTTCCCCCCAGAGGGGTGGGGAGGGCGGAGCCCGGCGGGCAGCTCACCCGAGGGCAGCTCAGAGGGGGACACTCCCTCTTCACTGTCACCACCTCCAGCTGCTCTCCAGAGGCCTCACACTCATGGTGCACGCAGGGGTTCCCGGGGTCGGACCAGGACTCGCCAGGCTGGAAGGGGGCCGCACTGCAGGGTGACCCTTCCTGGCACCCCACCACTGTCTGCCCCAGCCCTGCCCACCCAGGCTGAGGGCCCCTGGCCACCTGGCCTGCACTCCCACAGCTGCAGGAGGGCGGCTCTGTCCCAGCCTGGCTGGAGTCTGCCCTGGCATGGCCGCAGCTACTCACGTAAAGCAGGCGGGCCGGCTGGTCGGTGCCGTTCACAGCGACGACACAGGCCTTCTGAGCACACTCACCGCAGCACTGCCCAGCGCGGGGCTGGTACTCAAAGCCCTGCGTGGAGTCGGGGACACTTGGCCTAAGCACAGGCAGGCACCAGCGGCGGGGCAGGGCGGTGGGGGGAGGTCGCGCTCACCATGGGGCAGTCGGTGTTGCAGATCTGGGTCTTGCAGCTGACCATGAAGCCGTCTAAATTGGGGCTGCTGGGCACCTCACAGCGGCACGTCTGGCACAGGCTGGAGGAGACCACGGCGCCAGGCTGGGCAGGCAGGGCCAGGCTTAGTGAGCTGGGCTGGGGGCCAGGAGAGACCACCCTCCCCCACCGGACAGTGTCCCGGCTACCCACTAGGCTGACCATGTCCTGGGGCGGCCCTTGGTGTCCCCCCCTGACACAGAGCCCTCGGGGTGCCCAAGGGTGGCTGTCAGTGAGGTCACTCGGGGCCGAGCTGGGACAAACAAAGCCAGAGCCCAGTACAACCAGAAGCCATGGGTGGGCCCAGCGCCCTGGGAACAAGGGACTTTAGGCTTTGCTGTGTCCACTGTGCAGCTCCAGGAGGGGTCGGCACCAGGGGCTCAGTGCTCAGGGCCACCTAGACCCGCCAAGGCCCCCTGACCCCAGGGCCCAGGGCAGGCTCACCTGGTAGAGGGTCCCATTGACGCTGCATGCGGTCCAGTCTGCGGGAGACACGAGGCTGCACCTGCCCTGCACCACCCGCTTGGCCCCCAGGCACAGGCAGGTCCCGCCTGCCAGTCCCCCTCCACAGGATCTCCGTAGCCTCATCCAGGCCGGGGATCCAGCCAGGGCGGCAATGCAGAACAGTAGCCAGCATGGCTGGCCAGGACGGGACACTCACTGCATTTCTGGCTCTGGCAGCAGGCTCCCTCCTCGTGGGTCAGGATCGGGCGGGAGCCCTTGGGGCAGTCCTGGGGCTTGGGGCAGTAGGTGGAGTTGCACACTGTGTGGAAAGGGACACCGTCAGGGGCCAGGCCACTCCACACACACTATCCTTGGGGACACCAGGAGCAAGAAGCAGCACCCTTCCCCCAACATGCAGGGCCCAGCCTCACCGCAGCTGTACTGGGGACAGCACTGGCCAGCCCTGGGGAGAGTGGACACTGACACGAAGCCAGGAGTGTGGCAGGCAGGTGGCAGGGGGCAGGCCTTCTGTTGGCAGGTCATGGACTTTGTGAGCGGGTCGCAGACACATTCCTGGCAGTCCTTGCTGACGATCTGGCCCGGCTGTGGGGAGGACATGTGAGCCTTCAGGATGGCTGTGTGGATGGGGCAGCTGCAGCCAGGCTGACATGCAGAGGCACAGGGCAGGGTCCAGGCAGCTGGGTTCAGAAGGCAGCTGGTTTCAGGGCTGGGGGAAGGGGTCCAGGCATGGCAGGGCACAGCCAGAGGGACTCAGCACCCACAACAAGAGTCAGCTCCAGCACTGCCCCAGAGCAGGCAGGGAGAGCTGTGGGCAGTGCCTTCCTGGGCCCTGCAGGGAACCGAGACCCCACCAGCCCCATGGCTGCTTCTCCAGGGAGCTGGGGCAGGAGCCCATGGACAGCCGCCATCCACACGCACCTGAATCGGCTCCCCATGGGGCCCGGGGCAGCCTGCAGGGAGAGACCAAGGTCACAGGTCATGGGGTGGGGTGGGTGGGGTGGAAGCCCGCTGCCCCCCCAGTCCAGGACATACTGGGGCAGTCTTTGGGCACACAGACGAGGGCGCTGTCGCTGAACAGCTTCAGGTTATCTGGACAGAAGCAGCCTTCTGTGATGCGGCCAGCCTCAGGGAGGGCCCTGTGGGGAGGGAGGTTTGGCTGTGTCCTCACAGGGTGGCCAGGACAGCCCTGATTCTTGGTAGGTGGGTGGGTGGAGTGGGCGGGACATACGGAGAGCTGGCGTTGCTCCTATAGCAGTAGGGTGGGTCCGACAGGCCGCAGGGCTGGTACACCTTGTCCGAAGGGCAGGGGAAGGCTGTGGGCAGGGCCCCCGAAGGACCAGCTCAGGCCAGGCCTCTGAGCTCCCTGGGCCCTGGGCCCCCACTGAGCCCCAATCCCCTCACAGGAGCCTTTGGGGGCTGCTGTGGCCATTCATAGGGCCAGGGTACACGACCCAGACCCCTTGTACCCAGCTTCCCAGGGCAGAGACCCCACCCTGCGCCCTCCTCCTGGAACCCACTGGGCCAGCCCTGAGCCGGCCCTCTTCCTCCTCCTCCTCCTCCTCCTCCTCCTCCTCCTCCTCCCCTTCTTCTTCCTCCTGCAAGCCAGACTCTCCTGGCTGGGGACTCACGGCACGAGTTGTTGGTCCGAGCCCTCCAGTCCACGCACACGCCCTGGGCCGCACACAGCGAGGCATACAGCTCCAGGCCAGAGCACACCACCTCTGGCTTCGTCTCATGGCAGTGGTCAAAGACGCAGCCCTCGAAGAATGGCAGCGGCTCAATCACAGAGTGGCAGAGCTCAAAGACCCTGTGGAGGGAGGGGGTGGCGTGGTAGGCATAGCCCTGCCTGTCCTGCTGGCCACTGACAGTCCCGCAGTGGGGCTTCCAGGCCTGGGACACCCCAGGGGCTGCCGTCTGTGCACTTGGAGGTCAGCCTGCTGGCAAGTGCTCACTGCAGAGCCGCAGCCCCAGACGCCCCCTGCTGGCAAAGCTGGGTGTTGCCCAGTGCAGGGCCTTCGGGCTGAGGAGCAGGGCCTCGGGCGACGGACCAGCTGGCTGTCAGGCTGCTCCTGGCCCTCCTGGGGATCCCGAGCTGGGTCCCCCACCACCACCAAGGGAGACTTACTCGCTCAGGATCAGCTCACAGATGGGCGATGACGGGCACAGGGTGTGCCGGGGGCGTGTTGGGGACTCGGGCACCCCAGAGGTGGGTGCCGGGGACTCGGGCACCGCAGAGGTGGGTGTGGGGGGTGGCCCTCGGCAGAAGGGCTGGCCGGGGGTGTCCACCCGCCAGTGTTTGGACATCTCCGAGCAGGAGGTGGCCACTGCACCCCCGGGCATCCGGCACTCGTCCTTCTGGTCATTGGTGCAGGTGCCTGGGGTAGAGGACAAGTGAGCTGGCGGGCAGCACACGGGGCCTGGCCCCGACCTTCCCGTGCAAGGCAGCACCCGCGGCTCACCGCACTGGCCCTCAGTGTTGTTTGCAAACGTGCTGAAGGGCACCTCCACGGAGAAGATGAGCCCCGAGAACATGACCTGCACGCCCAGCTCGCGGATGGTCACGTACATCTTGATGCCCACACGGGACACGGCGATGCCATTCTCCTGGAAGCCAGGGCTGACCACCTCGCCGTTGAAGATGATCTGCGGGGGCATGGCCACGGAGTCAGCAGGGCCCCACGACCCCCACGGCCGCCCTGCTGTACCGCAGCCTCACCTGGTTGGTCATGGCCCCCCCGACCAGCCTGCGGGTCAGCACCACCCGGTCCTCATGGTACTCGACAATGATGGACTGTGGACAGGACACCCTCTCCTCCACATCGCAGAAATCATTGTCCACCAGCACACGGAAGTGGCCGAACACCGGTACGATCTGCTGCACCAGCACATAGGTGCAGGCGTCCAGGAAGGTGTAGTAGGTGCCATCGAACGTGATGTAGTGCGGATCACCCCAGCCGCTGCACACGCCTGCGGGCCGGATGGCCACGGTGAGGCAGGGCACAGGGGCTGAAGCCCTCCCCACCCAGAAAGCCACGCGGCCTGGCCCGGCCCAGGTTCCCCAGCCCTGCGCCCTCGCTCACACTGGCACTGGTAGTGCTGGCAGCAGCCGTCGGCATTGGCCACCTTCAGGGCCGGGTAGCCGTTGGCACAGAATGGTGGCGTCAGCTCCGGGCACAGGCGTGGGCTCAGGGAGACGATGTTGTCACCCTCACAGGTGGCTTGGGAGCAATTGGGCATCGCCCAGGTCTCACCTTTCTGGAGAGGCCGAGACAGCGGTGTCTGAGCCACCCCCATGCCTGGGGTCCACAGGGAGGGCAGCTGTGCCCTGGGGACCCCACCATCCTGATGCCCACCCAAACCAGCAGGCAGAGGCGCTGCTGGGGAGCTGCCCTCACCCAGGCCCGCCCCGCTGTGCCTCTGCTGCGGTGTCTGCTGTCTGCTCAGACCCCATTCTCCCTCCTGCTGCAGAAGCACCCTCCAAACCCCGGAGATGGAGTGTGGGCTACGGCAGCCAGCTCCCAGCTTGGACCCCTCTGTGATGCACTGCCATCTCCCTGGCCTGGGGACCCTGACAGGCACGGAGGTTACCTTTCTTTGGGGGACCACATTCAGGCAGGTGTTTGAGGAGGTGGTCGGGGACACAGGCAGAGCTGGTGTGGGGGTTGTGGTGAGGGTCGGGCAGGTGCGGCCCACACCCCTGACCACATGGCAGTCCCGGCTGCACAGTGCGTGGTAACAGTGGCCGTCAAGGTCCACCTGGTGGTATATGACCGCCCCTGGAGACAGGGATGCAGTGTGGTGAATGGCCATGGGAACAGATGTCCCTGCAGGCCAGCCAGTGACCTTGCACAGGGCCAATACCTCTGCCAGAGGTACCATGGGAGCAGCTGGCCCTGCTCACCACACCCAGCCTTTCCTCCCGGGCAGCACAAGGACCCACCTGCAGAATACAGCTGGCCAGACACAAGGCAGAAACAGTTGAGGGGTGAGGAGACCGCAGAGCTGGAGGACGTCATGGAGGACACGCTTGAAGAAAAGGTCTCTGGGCTGGAGGTCACCGGGGGGGTCACTGTGCTGGCGGGGCAGCCATCGGGCACATGGCAGCAGAGCACACGCACCTCATAGTCCAGGCACAGACCCACGGGCCCCTGCTGGTCACGGTTCCGGCACACCAGGCCCACGTGACGGTTGCACTGCACCACCTGGCCCAGGGTGGCGATGGGGACCTCGGGGTGGCTCTGAGCTCGGCACTGCAGCCTTGTGACCTCCTCAGGCCGGTGGCAGATGCTGTGTCCCCTCTGGAGGATGTGGTTATAGGTCTCCAGGTCCCCACCACGGGACCCGGGCTTGGGAGAGTCCACGTCAAACCAGGGGGTCCAGGTGCACTGGGGCCGGCAGTTTCTGGCCCCGGTTAATGAGATAGAGGCTGAGGACGAGAAGCTGGGGCTGGACCCAGAGACAGAGGTGGCCCTGGTGTGGGGTGCGGGTGTAGAGGTGGTGCTGTGGATGGAGGGGGAGCTGAGTTTCGGAGTGGAGATTGAGCTGGCTGTGTGCATGACGGTGGAACTGATGCTCCTGGTGGAGGTGGAGGTGGAGCTGGTGCCTGTTGTGTCGGTGGGTGTTGAGCTGGTGCCTGTTGTGGTTCTGGGGGTTGAGCTGTTGCCTGTTGTGGTTCTAGGTGTTGAGCTGGTGCCTGTAGTGGTTGTGGGTGTTGAGCTGGTGCCTTTTGTGGCTGTGGGTGTTGAGCTGGTGCCTGT